CGGGGGGGGCGGGCCGGCGGGCGGGGGGGGGCCCCCCGCCGGCCCTGGGTGCGCAAGACCCCGGCGCTGCCCCGGGAGGGACAGGTGACCTCGGGGGATGTCAAATGTGATGAAGAGACGAGCTGTCCTGATGGGAGCACGTGCTGCAGGCTGAGCCTGGGCACCTGGGGGTGCTGCCCCCTCGAGCAGGTGTGGGAGAATCCCTGGGGTTTGGGGGTGGACAATTTGGGACAATGTCAAGTGAGGTCTTGTCCTGGGGAATGAGGATTTGGGAATGGAATGGAGAGGGGTAGGGACGGAGCGTGGCTGTGGGGGAGGCCCTTCGGGGACAAGCAGGACTGGGGTGGGCAGAGACATGGGACACTCCCACATTTGTCACTGGTCCCCTCAGTGGAGGCTCTGTGGGTACCCTAGGGACAGGGCCTGGCACAGTCCCTGGGGCTCTGCCAGGGACACCCGGGTACCTGGGTGCCTGATGTACCTGTGTCCTGGTACCTGGACACCTGGAGCCGTGTCCCCCACTGACCCCATCCTTGTTTCCCCAGGCCGTTTGCTGCGGTGACCACCAGCACTGCTGTCCCCGAGGCTACACCTGCAACGTGGCCACCGAGAGCTGTGAGAAGCTGCTGGCGCCCACCCCACTAGTGCCAACCCCCTCAGCCCCTCGCCAGGCCCCCTCAGCCCCCCACCGGCCACCCCCCGTCCCACTGCGAGCCCCTGGCACCCACCCAGGTGGCCTCGTGCCCTGCGGTGCCAGCGGCTCCTGCCGCGGGGGCCAGCGGTGCTGCCAGGCCCGGGGAGGCTCCTGGGGGTGCTGCCCCTTTGCCCAGGTGAGTGGGAGGACACCAGGGTGGGGGTGAGGGGTGGCATCACCCCCCCTCTCACTCCATCTCTCTCTGCAGGGCTCCTGCTGCTCCGACGGCCGCCACTGCTGCCCCGCAGGGTCCCGGTGCACCGGGGGGGGCTGGGGCTGCAGCCCCCAGCACCCATACCTGTTCTGATCTCACTGGGGACACCACCACCACCCCCAAGTGCCACCACCCCAATAAACGGTTTCTAGGAGAAATTCCATCCATGGCTCCCGGCAAGGGGGAAACTGAGGCAGGAGGCGGAGGCAGGGGGATTTTGTGTGTTTAATATATTAATGCCTCTAAGGAGCAGGCAGGACGTGCAGGCAGGTGCAGGCAGCAGCTCCCTGCCCAGCCTGGCACCCGGGGGGGTCCCCATGGCCCCCCCTCTGCCAGCCTGGCCCCAATGACCCCTCTTCATCCTCACCACGTAGAAAACGTTTAGAAACACAGTTAAAATCCAAAGGGAGATGAGGGTGGGGGACGGGGACCCCCCGGCTCCTATGGCAGCTTGGAGGCACCGCTGGCTCGGGGGGCAGTGCCAGCCCCCCCTGTCCTGCAGGGACACAAGTGGGGACATGGCTCAGGATTGGGAGGACATGGAGCATGCAGTTCCCACCCCCAAAAGACGGGGAGGTGGATGGTGGTATTGGGTGGGACCCGGACGGGACAGGGGCAGCAGGCATGTGGCAGAGCCTGGTGGCACAGGGTGGGGGTCCCAAGCACGAGGACACGGTGGCCTGGCTGTGGTCTCTCCGGCCCCTCCCCTGGCAGAAGGGGTTCGTGGTGGTGGGGTAGGACAGCGGTGGGACAGTGACAAGGCAGGATGGTGTGGGGAGGGATGACACGGCAGTACAGGATGGGACAGTGACAGGACACGGTGGTAGGAGGGTGGGATGGGATGACAGCGGTGGGATGAGATGATGGGCTGTGTGGGATTGAGCTGGGATGGCACTGATGGGACAGGATGACAGGTGGGATGGGGTGGGATGAGATGGCAGTGGGATGGCACAGCGATAGGACGGTGATGTCAAGACGGCGGTGGGAGGAGACAGTGCTGGGCTGAGACGGGTGACAGCAGCGGTGTCCCCACCATCTCAACACCCCCCGGGGACCAGGGACCGCCCTGCCCACACTCACTTGACATTGAAGACCATCAGAGGCCGCTCCTCCCGCTTCTGCCAGGGGCTTTTGCGGTCCCCCCCGTCGTCCCCCGCGTCGCCCGCCTCGGCCAGCGCCTCCTCCTCGGGGCTGGTCAGGGAGTCTCGGGGGGCTTCGCTGGCGCTGCTGCGCCCGCTGCCCCCCCCTCGCCGCCCCCCGCTGCCCGCTTCCAGCAAGGGGGCCAGCGAGCTGTCCTCGGGGGAGGCTGCGGGCAGGGGGGGCCGGGGCCCCCCGTCCTCCTCCCCGCCTCCGGCCGCCCGGGGCAGACGGGGAGGGGGCGCGGGGCCGGGACCCCTCTCGCTGCCCTGCAGGTCGATGTAGGAATGCCGAACCTGGGAGGAGCGCCCGTCCAGAGACACGAACCAGGCTCTCGGGGGTCGCGGCCCCCCCAGTTCCAGGAGCTGCTGCCCCGCCAGCGCCTGCAGCTCCCCGTTGAGCTGGGCCACCGCCGACCCGTCCAGCAGCACCGGGATGGCCACCGAGCCACTCACCGGTTGGGGGGCACGGGCCCCGCCCCAGTTTTCCCCTTCCTCGAAGGGCTGCCCGGAGGATGGGGGGGGCGGGGGCGCGGCCGTGGCCGCCGTCGAGCCGGGTCCCCCATCGGCTTCGGGGGGACCCTCGGGCTCGCCGGGGGCCAGGCGCATGTAGCGGGCGGGGATGAGCAGGGTGGGCATCACCCCCCGGTAAACCTCCTCGGGCCCCCCGCCCCGGTCCAGGGGGCCGCAGAGGAGCAGGGGGCCGGGGGGCGCCAGCGAGGGCGGGCGCGGGGGGGGCTCAGGCAGGGGGTGCTCGGTCGGCTGCGCCCCGTAACGGGAGAATGAGGGCGAGGGGGGCCGCGGGGGGAAGGCGGGGGTGCCCCGGGGGTGCTCGTCGGGCGGCTGCAGCCCGTCCACCGAGCGGGCGGCACGGAGGCCGAAGGCTTCGCCGGGGCGCCCGTAGTCCTCGTGGGCGGGGGGCTGGCGGCGGCGGGGGGCCAGCGTGGCGGCCGCGGGGCGGGGGCCGGCGCGGGGCGGGG